TTTGGTCATTCGCATATGAGCTTTTCTGCTGTTGTTGTTGAACAATTATTATTACTAAATGAAATTTAATTGACTTAATATGAACATAAAGTGAAAAAAAAATGTATAATTGAATAAATACAAATTATCATACTTTTCTTTATATTTTTTTTAAAACATGACATTATAATTTAAAAAGATACATATAAGTTAAAAAACATTGATTGTCTAAATGTGACATCTTTCTAACAGCAGCCTAATTATTTGAATAAATAAATTGCACAGTAGATATTTGTTATTCATTTCGATATTTTAAAACTACATAATCTTCGTCATGATCATCTTTTTATTGTAATTTTTTTTTTCGTCATGATCATCTTCATAGCAAATACAAACCCCGGAAAATTAATTTTGGCTGGTGAAGGTCCAATCTTGCCTAGCATATAGTAGTTATTTATGTTTATTTAAATGCTGGCACACACTAATTTGACATAGGCACGATCGAACATTTGTACCAGTTGATCTTACCAATCTCCTTTTCATTTCTTAATTTAAAACTTTCCTTCATCATTTGATACAACTCGATTTCAGAATCTGTGTTCTAAGTCGCATTCAAACCTATAAAATAAATAACAATAATGGGAATGTCAAAAAAATTGTTTTCCTTATGTAATAATTGTGTTTGTACTGAAATTCAATTCAATCTTGCCTGGTTTGTCAATAGCATTTACTAATGCTAATGCATGATGATTGATATTGTATATTACGTGTTGATTTTTGAGTTCCATTTAAAATAAATCAAGATAGCTATATTCTCAGTAAAATTTTTGTGCAACTTAATCAGTATAAACGAATTAGAGACCTTTTCTTTACTCCCAAACTAATTTCACGTACTAAATTGAACTTTTAATAATTTTGGTTGCTTAGAAGGCGAGGTTTATAAAGAAAAGAATCTATAAAGTAGGGGAAAAATCGTTTCTTATTTTTACAGTCAATATTGTTTATATCTAAATTAGTTAGCTATTTGCTTTTTCACGGACATATAAGGTAACTAATTTGTCAAAAATCCGTGCAGGGGAAGTGGTACATCAAGAGCCAATTAAGAGGTAAAATCCGTAGACAACGCATAGGCACCAAGCACCACTTTATGCGGCCCATTTAGACAAGTTGAACATCTATATTGTTTTGGGTCTAATTTTGTTTTTTAGTATGTAAATAGATCTAAGTTGTTGAACATCTATAATACTTTGGGTCTAATTTTGCTTAATAGACCTAAGTTTTTTATGATATGGACAAGAATATATAAAAGTAACAAATCAACTTCAATGCAAAGAGACTGTATCTACTTGATAGACTTAAAGGTAGACCGAGTTTTTTTTTCTTGTTGCCACATCAGCAGGACTCAGTCCACTTGCACTTGTATATATTTTGTTAGACTGAGTCTATTTTCTATGTGACTTGTATATTTTTTTGAATGAACTCAAAACATTGTAGATGCAAGTGGGCCAGACGATTCTGACATTAGTATAGATAGACATGTTCACGGACTGAACCGGCCTCCCGGTTCGGTCCCGGTTCATGTTTTTTCTTTTCGTCGGGCCGGGTCGCGGGTTGGACGACGGGCCGCAGTGTTTTTTTTATTATTATTTTTTAAGGGTCGTACCAGCCCGAAACCCGCCAAGTCGGTGAACCGGCCCATATAAATGGGCGGGCCGATCACGGGCCATGAAATTGAGGCCCGCCGTCGGGCCGGGCAGGGCCGGGTCGCGGCCCAACAATTGGCAACGTCTAAGTATAGGCTGACTAGGCAACCTAGGTAGCGGCTAAGCGCATGTATTTTTTTTTTTTCTTATTTTTTTATTTTATTTTTAAATTATAATAATATATTTTTTTTTAATATGCATAAAATATACTTTAATTGTAAAATGATAATTATATTAAAATTAATACAATAGTTACTAGTATATTATATTTCAGATAATTTTTTATATTTGTTCATATTAAATAGTATTAATTTTTGCTTAAACGCGTTCCGCGTTAGATCCCAGCTCCTAGCAACTTCTACAACCAAAAAGAAAACACCAACATTTGGGGTAAAAGAAAAAACACAAAATTCTCCTTTTTAAATTGATATATTCATGTTTGTTTGACTTGTACTCTTGGGGTTAATTTTATTTTGTCATAATACTATGATTATGCCTATTGAATTTTTTGTGTCCTCCCAAAGAGCATGCGCTTTGATGCATGATATTTTTGTCAAAAGTAAAACTTAATTATACGTGACTTGAAATTGCGATTAATGTTTTTGAAGTTTTACTAACATTTGTCATCACATTGAAAATGAAGTAAAGAGGTTTGATTTCAGTTTATGGCTTTTCGTGGACTTGAAGGTATTAACTTCAGTTTGTTATGTCAAAACTATAAAGATTAAAAAAAAAAGTGTAAAATCTATTTATGAATTTCACATGATTTTTTTTTTTTTTTTCCNTTTTTTTTTTTTTTTTCCAACGATAAGAGAATCTCATAAAACCAAAGAAAATATATACAATGCACAAATATAAACCGAGTACAAGTTCCAACACATGACGGATGAAATGGGAGAACCGCACACATGCGGCCTAAAAGAATAACAACCTACAATTGAGTTATAACAATACAACACACTTAAGAGACCAAAAACTAAAGCATAAAGGGGGAATAAGCCATTGATCGGAGACCTCGTTTAAAACTTTAAACTCCTTTACCTTGTTACAAGCTCCTTCATTGAACTGAATTCCTTCCACTCACAGATTTCCATTTGGACAATATAGTGTTCAGTTTTCCAAACATTTTGAAAAATTCAAAAGATTTTGAGCCTTCGATAGCCATCAGAGTATATTTGTTGAGAGTTGAATTCTGGTATCAGAGGTCGTCTTCTTATCTACCGCACACATCTGCCACCACCATTCCTTAAACTATCAATTGTCCGACTGAATGTCTTCCCAATTCACCGAAGCTAATTGCTAAACTTTCTTGGCTCTGTTGCACTTTGGAAAAAATGTGCTACACTGACTCTTCTTTCTCCCCGCAGCCTTTTGCAGATCAAATCCACTTCCATCCTTTTGCTACTAACATTTAAGTTCACTGTCAACACCCCTAAGAAACACTTCCAAATGAAGTGTTTAATCTTGCCTTTCACCATCATTCTCCAAGTTCTTTGTCATGCTTGTCTGTCTTTCCTTGCTGTAGTACTCCCCTATGCTCTATCCATATGGTTAGCCTTATCTACAACAAGCTTGGCATAGGATGCTGCAACTGAAAACTTGCCCTTACTATCGAGACTCCAGATCAATTTGTCTTCTATATCTGGGTGTTCACTAATAATTTTCGCTATCCGTAAGTATACGGCGTAGCTATTGGTAGTGGCGAGCAAGGTCGTATTCCACAGAGATTGTAGTTAAATTCATTAAGTACTAAAATAGTGACGATTAAATATTATCTAGACTAATGAATTGAATGATGATTATAAACAAAGAATTAAACTAAAAAAACTAATTTATCTAAAAAACTAAAAATAAAATAAGATACAAAAGATAGATTCTAGGTTATGCTTTCCTCGGAATTAATTCATGAAATGTTTATATTCAAACAAACCTTATTTCATTTTACCAATCGTAGAGATAATCACTAAATTGATTTCAAACCTTTCTCCCGAACAAGTTAAATCGTAGATATTAATTGTTATCTATCTCCTCTCGATCTCGAGATGAACAACTAATTAACTCCCATAAGTTCCTAGGATTTTCGTTCTCTCGTAAGGTCCTATCAATCTCTCGGTCTGTTTATTCTCTTACGTTATAAATTTACCAATTCTAGCAATCAATTATCTCCTCTCGCTCTCAAATCAGTCACAAATATACATTCATAGTGGTCATCTACTTACACAATAATAATAAGCACAAGAAATTCATAAACGAATGATAAACCAGAATAAAAACAAGTAAAACTATATCATAAATCAATCCGAGTACTAACAAATCCTATAACCTAAGATAGATATAGCCGAGAAACATGCTTTTAAAATAATAAAAATAGATATAAAACATTGAGTTCGAAAGAGGAAAAGAAAAAGAAAGAAAAAGCTTATTTGGCTCCGTCGATCCTTTCTTCCCAACTTTCTCCCTCGTCTTGCTCGTGTTTTTAGCCTCCAAAAGTCTCCAAAGATCTGAAAAATATGTTTAAGACTCCCAAAAACGTGTCCAAGTGTTATATAAATAGTCGGGGTCGAGTCCTAGTCGAAATAGGTAGAAAAAGCCGAAAAAATAGGAAAAACGCGCAAAATCCGATTCTGACCCGTCCAGACCCACACGACTCGAGTCGCACATGACACGAGTCGTGTGGAAATGCCGTGCACTCAATTCACGACCCGTCGAAACGACACGACCCGTGTCTCGGGCTCACACGACCTGTGTGTACCTGGGAGTTCTAAACAGCACCAAATCGTCATTCTCAGCTCGGTTCGTGGCTCCTGGTCGAATTTCAGGCATCCCACGTGTTCAGAAGACGTCCAGGTCGCCGGACATGGCGTCTCCGGTCGGATTCCGGCAGCTCCTCTCATCATGCGGGAAGGTGCAGCTGCAGCTCCTCTTGGCAATATATAACTTCCAGTCGGCGTCTCCGACGACATCACGGCGGAAATGGTCGTCGGGAATGGCTTCCAGGTGGTGCTCCGGCGAGTTCTGGCGGCTCCGGCACGGACAGCGACGTCATCTTCTTCTTCTCGGTGAAAGGATAGCGCCGGCGGACGGAGAGGTGTTCAGGACGTCGGAAATTGGTTCTCCGATGGCTGGGTAGTTGCGTGGTGGCTCGGTGATGATGTAGCGGCAGCTCAACAGATCTTTCATGGCGGACGAGGTGATGTTACGTGGGGAAGGAGAAGACAAGCTTTAAATCCAGAAATGACCATCATGCCCCTCATTAATATAATTTTGGGCCATATTTTTGGGCTGTACATTTTTCTCTTACTCACAAGTAGTTGGACTGTTCATGGTGGTCCAATATCTAATTTTAAAGGCCAGCCTTTGGACTATGTGATTGGACATCTTGCTTCTTCTAGCTTTGTCCATTTGTCGTTTTTTCCGTATCTTATAATGTTCCGACCTAATTTCCTATCAAAACTCAAATAAAACACATTTGTCATAGTTTAATAAGATTAATTAAATGTATAATTAATTATATAATAATTAATTAAACAATAACTAATTATATATCAAACTACGACGAAACAGACACGAAAATCACTCTATAATGCACGTAAATATGACGCATGTCACTAGGTTCAAAGTATTAATCCTCACAATAGTTGTCTCTTCACTGAATTACTCTTATCACATCCACATTCGAGTTCCTCCCACTCTTGTCTAGAAGTTCCAGTACCCAAATCAAATTACAGTATATCCCAATTTTGACCATCAAATTCATATTCTTCAAACTTGGCACCCAGTTACAATCCAACATTCTTGTTTTCGTACCATTCCTGATTTATACGCTAAGCCCATTTTCAAAGATTGTTTTCACAGCTGTCTAACTTTCCACAATAAGTATTCACTTTGTACTAAAAATCGGCTTAAGCGACGTCAAGGCGCTGAGCGCTGCTCGACCACCTCCGATTTGCATAAATCTGCTAAAAAAATCGGTCAGGCGACTAGACGGCGCCTAGCCCTATCTATGAGCTCCTAGACGGGCTTGGTAGCGCCTAAACACGGCTCAACGATAATTTTTTAATTTTTTTTTTAATTTTGTAAATATTAATTATATTATTTTGTTATCATATTTTCTTTATAATAATTAATATTATTATTTAGATTTAGGTGTGTTGATTTATTACATATTGAAATATTTTATTCTGTAGACAGTGAATAAATAGAAAATAAAGTATTGAATCTTAGATTTTTAGGCGCGCCCCGCATAAGTAGCAATCCGTGAGCTATTAGAGTATCTCCCATGGTCATTCTATTCCTCTATTTTGTTGCCACATGACATAAATAATCTTATGTGGCTTGAAAAAATTCTAGAAGGCTTTCTAGATGTTGAATCCTTTCTAGACAACTTCCATTGTATATTAGAATATTTATTTAATTTATTTATCTTCTTCAACCAATTAAAATTTTACATATCATAAATGATATTACAATGAACATTAACCATTGAAGACATAAATTTTTAGTTTTCATTCTCTATGTCATACAACACAAAATGGGCAATTTTTAATTGGAGATGCTCTTATTATTCATCGTATTCATTGCCAAAGAGTTTTTGTGAACTAATAAATGTGGAAGCTTCGAAGGCGGATTCAGCTCAATGGAGTCCACAGGCTTCAGAGATGTCCACAGTTCGGATTTTGACCTCAAATTCTGCCGTAATTAATGCTTCAGTGCGTGTTGATTTGAATATGATAGCTTAGCTCCATGGCAAACTTGCTCCTATTACCCTATCCCTGAAAATCTCGCACCCCGCAATCTCCATTTTCATCTCCCAAGCTTACGCTCATCTCCAAACCCTGCAAGCCTCATTGCACGACGCATCACAGCCTCCTCACCCTCGCGCCCGTGCAAAGTTGCAGCAAAATACAAGAAAAGAAGCAAAATCACGGCGACCCAGCTCAGGAATATCAGCGAATTCTCGCAGGACTTTTGCTCCTCCAGTGAAAATCAATCCGGAGAATGCGAAAGATTGCCACGATTTGAGGTAGATAGCTCACCGGGAATTTCGTCGAGCATATGGTGGTCTGATCTGAAAGCCGCAGTTGGGCAGAGGATTAATTTGGATGGCATTGCTTGTTTGTTTGGGATCTTGTCCAAGGACAAGCATTTGGCGATCCCTCATGTTTCTGTGCCGGACATTAGGCATGTCGATTGGTCCGAGCTGAAGAACAGGGTATTTGTTGGTGTTATGTTTGATAAGGATAACACGATTACTGCGCCTTACTCTTTGAGCATTTGGGAGCCCCTTTGTCTGTCTGTGCAGCAGTGTAAATCGTTGTTTGGGAATAATGTGGCTGTGTTCAGTAACTCTGCTGGTAATTTTGAGGAAATACCTTTTGTGGGATTTGATGTTGAACGTTCTTTCTCTTTTAGATGTGTGTTTTTGTGTTTGTTCTGGGTTGTCGTTTGACGTTGCTTAGCTTGTTAAAAAAATAAAAATAGGATTGTATGAATAAGACCCGGATGGTAGAAAAGCTGGAGCTCTTGAGGATGCAATTGGGATCAAAGTTATTCGGCACAGTGATTTTTTCGTCTGCTCTTGAAAATTTTCATTTTTGACACAAAATATGTTGATCGTGATTCGAGCATGCAGATGAGCACATGATTTTTGTTGTCTCAATCATTGTCATTAATAAATTGGTTGCTTTTGTTAATTGAATTGAATATAGGGGTGAAGAAACCAGCTGGAACAGCTGAAGAAATCGAAAGACACTTCGGGTGCAAATCCTCGAGGCTTATTATGGTGAGATCCTACTTAGTGACTGATTTGTATGGTTTTCCTCACAGTTTTTTCATTTATCTATGAGAGTTAGGATGTCTCATCTCATTGCATTTTGGTTATGCATATGTTAGGTGGGTGATCGGCCCTTCACGGATATTGTTTATGGGAACAGAAATGGATTTTTCACAATGCTCACTCAACCATTGAGTCTTATAGAGGAGCCTCTGATTGTCAGGCAGGTAGGTCATTTTGTTTTATTTTCTTGTTATTGCTGCATGGGAACTCTAATTATTTTCAAAAGAATGAAGTTAAACATGTAAAGTCATGAATGGACCTTAATGTGTTAATCATTTGGTAACTGGAAGAATGGCTCTGGGAAATATGATTGAAATGTTTAGTACATCATCGCATTTGGTTACAGGCTGATCTTTGGAATAAGGAACTTAGAGTATCTGCAAGCTACCTTGAACTCGTTATAGTTGCATTGTCATTGCTAGATGCTTTTCATGTTTAAAATGAGATTTCTGTATTTTATTATATCACTTTGGGAAGGAGTATATCACCCTGTGTAGGGTCTATTCTTCGTGTTGTCCAATGAAATGCATGCATAACTGGGTGAATTTTCCAGAGGTGGTGAAGATAATGAGTAATTAAATGACTTGAACAATCGTAATTGGCGGAAGTTCTAACCTGTAGTATATTGACAGCAAGGGAAGTAGTTGGCAGAAGTTGATGTGTGAGGAGATGGAATGAGGGTTAACACAAAATTGAAATGGCGAAACATTATAGAGAATTAGGATGTCCGGTTATAATTATTGGTTTATTAGAGTGGAATTTCATGATGCATGCTGATTCTGCTTGTTGGGGATTCTTTAAGTTTCATTTTTTTTTTTTTTTTGGGTTTTTCACTTGTCTTTTTCCCTTTGTTTAGAGGTACGGGAAGGCAAGTTTGTAATATTTTGGTCAGGCAGATTGAGCCATCTTGCACTGTAACTAATGCCATGATTGAAAGCTTAAACTCTCTCATGGTGTCATATTCTATATTTGTTCTCGCTTGATGCAAAATAGTGTGCGTATGGGGCAGGCCCCACCTAAAATGCACGTTTTGGTGTCCAAATTTAGCTTTAATTTTCCGTTCTGTGACGATGTGTGTGTGGAAAATGGATTTTGCAAAAAGGCAGAAATATTTGCTGCTTTTATTTTTTTATTCATCTTATAAGGCTACTTTTGGATCACAGACCAAATTTATTCATGCAAGTATCTATGAGAGCAGGTCAGATTAAGTTATTGCGCAGGATTCATGAATTAGTTCTTAATTTCTCCTTATTCGTGGATGTACAAGTAGTAGAACTGATAGATGGGATTTTTGGAACATAGAAAACTTAAATTTGGACGCTAGATTCATATGTCGGATATTCATGACATCCCAAATGGGCATCTACTCTATCCTCGCCCATATCATCTGCTTACTAAATTACAGCTTATTATATTTTCGCGTATTTTTTGACGGAACAAAATGTTTTCAGGTGAGGCTGCTTGAAGCTGCCATTGTTAGACGATGGTGCAATAAGGGCTTGATGCCAGTCACTCACGAGCTTCTTTCAGATCCAATGACGCGTATTAAGGATGTACCACTACCACGCAGATAAATGCTTTTCATATGGAGACTATGGTATCTCACTCATTCTCTATTTGTTCTACTTTGTTCTTTTCCAAATCTTTTAGATAAATTGACATAAGAGCTTCAACTACAGCATATGGGATGGAGTTTGGTTTATGTGCCTCAACCTGTGCCCGTCAACTATCATGGTAATGTACACGAAATCTTCTAATATATACAGGGAGAACCTACTGCTATACGCATCTAAAGAACATGTCTTCTCCTGGTGTTTGAGCCTCCAAGGTTCTAACAGTCGATCATTTTTTGATCGTGTCAAGTATGATTGACATGCTATTAGATCTGCTTTCTTTAATTTCTCACTGAGCAGTATGGGTCCTTCAGAACATATTGAGCCGTAATTAGAGGTCATATATCTTTAACCAAGTAAATCATGCTCGAGTCCAGTTTTGGAAGCAGATAGTTAAAGAGAGGGAAATATTTAACTTTTATATCCCACGTTTTTAGTTATTTATTTTTTTGGTACCCACATTAATTTTAAATTTAATCGAATTCGTCACTTTAAGTTTGCTTTGTAAATTACATTTGATATTGTAAGTGAAATTTAGGGGTGCATTCGTTTCGGACTTTGACAGAAGACATTTTAAGGAGTATGTTCGTTTAGGATTTTAAAGTGATATTAAAGACTTTTTAGGATCCAAAACTTTTTAAGATTTGTGGATTTTAGTAAAATCCTTATAAATCTTAAGGTGTGATTTGGTGATAGGATTTGGCATATGCAATTTGCACTTGAAATGTCATAAAATCCTAGACAGTCTTAACAAATCTCACTTTTAAATAAGTTAAATAACTCAAAATTTTTTTAAGACTTCAAAATCTCAAATGAATACCTCATAACTTTTTAAAGTATTGTAAATGCACCAAGATTTTTAAAATTTCAACAAGTCTTTAGAAATTTCAAACGAATACACCAGCCTTTTAATATTTGAAAGTTTTTAAGACTTTCTGATTTAATTGGAATTCTTAGAAATATCATGCCCGGATGTGGAATTTGAGTCTTTGATGTAGGGATTCGTATGTGTAATTTTGTGTTTGAAATCAAGTCTTAAAAAATCCAATCAAATCTAAGTGCACCTTATGACTTTTTAAAAATCAGGATTCTTAAAAGCTCAAAAAGTCTTTAAGAAATCGGAATGAATACAGTCGCCTTAATCATGGCCTGAGCCGAGTTTGATTGAAATTTAGCCATTGATTTTTTTTTTAAAAAAAAATGGCCATTGAATTTTTTTAAAGAGAACAATGAAAATTCCAAGAAGTGCGACTCCCGAAGTACTCCGATCGTCAATCGGTATTGTAGACATCTCAGGAATAACTAGTGAAGTTTTGTATACGATTCAATAATAAAATATTTGTCTGTTGGATTTTGGCGATCCAATAATTTTGATTTAATATTATTAATATGTGAAATTGTGAGTATTATATTAAAAGCAAATTTGCCCGAGCCTGCAGAAGCTGGAGGTGAGGGGTTGCCTGTTGCTGTAGGGCTACCGGGCGTCAGTGGACGAGCGGAACCTGCTGACTATGGTAAGGCTGTATTGGAATATTATAGACCTCNTGTTTGATAATAGTTTTACATTTCATTTTGTGGTCTCCCTAAAATGTTTAGGAGATACTTAAAAGTTATACATCTTTGTTTAAATTTTATATTTTTTTTTTTTCTCAACATTTCTACACTATTCAAGAGAATTTTAGAATGTCGATCTCATTCTCACATAATTTTTAATTAAATTCATTAGTTTTTTCTTCGAACTTCTATATAAAATTAAATTTACTTACTCTTATGTATTCTTATATATTCTCAACCTAATTTTTTATTTATTATAATGTCTAATATTATCCATGTAAAGGAAATTTAGTAAATCATTAATGCGCAAAAAGAAAACTCAAAATAAGTATAAGAAATTAAATTAAACGGCATCGAATAGTAGGAAATTAAACCCGTATTTTGTAATTGGAATAATCTTGGATTTTATAATTTGAATTAAAATCAAGGAAATTTAGGTCAAGTTGGGTGATTTTCATGGAGCATATGCCGTTGTGCTCAAGTTTGGTGATTGCTCAAGTTTGGTGATTGCCCCTATAATTTCTTTGATGTATTTTTTATTTTTCTTGAAATATAATAAACTAAAATTAAATTTTTAAACATGAGATGCAGAATAATTATAAAATAAAAAATAATGATTATATAAAACTAATATAATAATTATAACAATATATAAATCCTCCATAAATGTAAATGCATTCCAAGATGGCCAGGTCGGACTGGTACCTGCGGACCCAGACCTGGTCCGCCTTTCTGCCTTGTGGACCTGACCTGCCTTGCGACCAGCGATGTGTCCAACAGGTGCCTTGATCCGATTCGGGGTGGGTCGGTCCGCCCCGACCCCATTCAACCCGTCAGTGAAAATAAATCAAGTATTTCTATCTCACAGATAAGCAGACGTTGGACTAGGACTTGACGGAGGGTCACGATGTTGCGGTGCAGCAAAGCATGATAAAATATTCCTATATATGTTTGCATGAAATAAAGGCCAAAGACTTGAGAAAGCAAGTTCAACTTAGTAATATAAAGCTAATTTAATTACGATACAACCCTTTCGGTTTCGAATAGTTGCAAAAAATCTAGCTAAACTTAAAAAATTTATAAAAAACATCAAGGTCATATGCTTTAGATTATGCACCCAAGCTCGCGTTTAGTATTTTTCAGCTGCAATTTACACCCCTCAATTTTTTTATTATACAAATAGCCCCAACCTTCTGTTTGAATTTCACAATTATATCCCTTAAATTCTAATAATATAAATCACTGAGTAAAAAACTGGGCTGCTTGAAATATTTATATTTATAGAAGGTGATGATGTATCTTGGAAGAGGTTGGAGGCGTCGGACTCAGAGGTGAGAGAGCGGGAATGCGGGAGAAGTGAGACAGAGAGACCAGAAAATTACCAAAACTATAATTCCTAATTTTCCTTGTATATTATATATAATTTCATGTAAATTTGGACTTCTATATACGGCTATTAGAAATATTAAAATTATAAAATACTCGATCAACTTAATTATAAATATATTTTAAAACTTAATAACTTTTCTACTTGTTATCTATTTTTATTATATGATATAATAAATTAATCATCTTTTGACTTTTATTTGATATCAATATTGCATGTATGAAAAAAAATATTATATAAGCCATTTTAAAAAAAAATTAAATTATATAATATATCCTAATTGAAAAATAATAAAAGTACTAATTATGAATTAAATTTAGTGATCAAGTCTATTATATAATATGAGTTAGAAATATAAAATAGGACCAGCATTCTTAGTATCATTTGAAATAAAAACAAAAAATAAAAAAAATACCATACAACAAAGTAAAAAAACAAAAAGAAGTCTTAGTATCATTTGAAATAAGCTATGGGCCCCTGGAAAAAGTTAAAATAACAAAGTACAATAAGTTAGCAAGCTAATTTTCTCTTTAAAATTTCAGTGAAACAAGCAGCCAAAATAAAAGCCCAACTCATAGCCAACAACCCTTATGTTATGGCTTTGATTGACCAGACAGCTCATCACAACCAAAATGGGGTCACATAACAGATATCATTCATTCACAAATCACAAAAACTAAGACTAGATTCACACAAAAAAACTGACCATCAAAATGACAGTCACAGAAACAAGGTAGTATTGTTTTTTAAACAACAATTTACAATTACAACATTTGGCAACAAAATATAGTAAAGGTTTTTCTAAATAATAATAATAATAATTGTAATAATAATAATAATGATATTTGCTGGTGGCCCTCATTTACTACCGCAATTCAATGTTATTATTCTACTTGTTCAACTACTTCTCTGCTACTGCCATTAGTGAGATTGAATTCCAACACTTATTATTAGTGTCAAATTTTACTTTGAACTGTTTTTTTCCAGTTATGTTTTGCTGTACTCCAACTCAGTATCCATCCATCACCAATCGTGTTAAACCCTTTTACTGTACAGTCCAGATTTTGAACCTCGTCTGTAAAATTAAGATACCGAAAACTTTTTTATTAAAAGCTACTTTTGAAAAGTTCACCAATCAGTTACTTCTCAAAAGTTTTATAAATATCTAATTTTTCAATTATCCTTCATAACTTTTTTCCACAATAGATTATATATTGTCAAGTTAATTTAGGCGGGTGGACTAGCCAAGCTAGCAATTGTATTCGTTGGTTACACATGTCTAATTTTACCAGTCCAAAGAAAAAGTAGGATTTCTTAAATGAGTAATTAGTAAAGGCACCTTGAGTGATCTCTATAAAAGGTTGGAATACATATGAATGTTGATATGGAGCATATGGGCCGGCATGAGATGGTGTAGGCCTAATAAGGAATATGGACAATATTGGCCCAAATTGCAAATAGGCTAGTCCGAAAAATTGATGTATAACAATCCATACAAGCAAAAAATTTTAAAATGACATGGTACATATGGTATGTTAAAAACATTGGAATACATATGAATGTTGATAGATATTTAATTTTGATACACTAACCGGAGTGTTAGAATGTGTATAATTTAGTAGCATTAATACCAAAGTCCAAAGATGCTACACGTTCAGAACTGTTCGCTGTCGCCTGTCTCTGGAAACTATATCTAAACCACCATGAGCTACAGAGATTGTGCATAGAAAAGAGAACAAAAAATAAAAAACAAACCAGATAATAATGATAATAATATATTGGTAGCATAATTTTTTTGTTAAAAAAAAAATGCGAGGATTAAATGAGAGTATAAATGCGCCTACTGTACACACAACCAACTACACACAAGTTCACCTGCTTATATTTACTTCAGTCCTTATATATAGACCGCTCCTCATTTTTCCATCCTTACCACTCAAATTCATACTCGTAAACTTTTTTATTTTTTCATTTTTTGGTTTTTGGTACATTGCTTGAAAAATGGAGGCAAAGACAAGAAGCCGCCGGGCACGTTTGCTGCTATGGACTGCTATGGCTGCAATGTTTTCTGTTGCGTCCGCCGCCACCTTTGATAATCAGAAGAATTACTATATACCCGACCCGCACACGCCTCCCACAGGTCCTTTTTTCAATTTTTTTTTTTTTTTAACCTGCCACGTTTTCAAAATAATATTGGGCAAATTAATAAAGTTTTACTTAATTTTGTTCGCAGTTCCGAATCTCCCGATTGTCCCTCCACCGCACGGCTCGGGCGGCGGCCACCTGACCCCAACCCCATCCCACGGCACTCCACCCGCCAACTGCGGCAAACCTCCAAGCGGCAGCGGCAGTGGCGGCGGCGGCCGCCACCACACCACCCCGTCACCACCCACCGGCGGCAGCGGCAGCAGCCACCACCCCCCTCCGACGACCTCCACCCCGGGCACCACAGTCCCGTCCCCTCCTTTCTCTTTCGACCCCAACTCACCCCCATTCAACTGCACGTAAGCACCCTACACACATATTCCCAATTTCTTTCTTACTTTCTTTTTAATTAAAATTTAAAAAAAAAATAAAAATGTATATGAATATGGAAGGTACTGGAGAAACCACCCGACCTTGATATGGGGCCTGTTCGGGTGGTGGGGGACAACTGTCGGGAGCGCGTTCGGGGTGAGCAGCCTTCCAGGGTTCGGGGCCAACACAAACATACTCCAGGCACTCTCCAACACCCGTACAGATGGGCTCGGGCAGCTCTGCAGAGAAGGAACAGCTGCCCTGCTCAATGCCATGGCCCACACGAGGTTCCCTTACACGACTACCCAGGTCAGGGACAGCTTTGTGGCGGCACTCGGGTCAAACAAGGCGGCTGCTGCCCAGGCTCGGCTGTTCAGGATGGCAAACGAGGGTAGAACCAAGCCCAAGGCCTGAAGATTAATTATGTGTTCCCTTTTTAAATTTGTTGTATTTGCTTAAATTCGCTGTGTGTGTGTGCTCTGCTTTTTAAATTTATGCTTATTCGACATCTTATGTAAGAGTAGTGAATTTGTTTCGTGTTGCGCGTTATTACCTTCGTTCCAAAATCACAAAGTT